AACACATAAAAATCGCATTTGAAAACGGGAATGATTGTCTTTGATATTCAATGCTTTAATTGAAACCAGGCAGCTGAATTACAGGGCTCTGTTTTGACGGTTTCATGGTTTCCATCAGTAGAAGGGGATTCCTGAGTGATATCCTGAGGAACACTAGATTTCCTTTTAGAGGAAAACCAAACAGTGTAACACGTCATTGTTTTGTACTGACTTCATGGCCAGTCGGCATTACAGCTTTTCTGTACCTGTAATGGACACTCGGTCAAAGGTTCATTCTACTTCTGTCTGCCACTCACATAGTCTGTGGATAAGTTCAGTATCCACTTCACATATGGCAGGGCTGGGTAAACATCTGGTAATCTTTGTTTCAGCTTCTCAAAAGCTCAACAGGCAATGGTCTCGCTGTGTGTACTCAATCTTCTCCAATTACATAGTTGCTGGCGGCTCCCCTGAGGTTTACATGGACAAACCGTTTGGGATTGCTGAAGGAGTTTCCACAAAATAGGTGTTGTCCAAAAATTCCTCGCTGTTATGGGTATCAACCCACTAAAAGAGAAGCGTTAAAGAGACTGAGAAAACAACAAAGGACATGCCGTGCGGTATGTATAACACTTTTTCCTCCTGTTTTGTGGTTGACTTGTATTCTTCTGATTCAGATGAGCTGAAAAAGGAGAATCTGTTACATAGAATGTTTGGACAGACAAAGAAAATAAAACACAGAGACACCATTTATACTATATGTTGCACTGTCGAAGACAAGTTTGTGAGCCAAGATTTTTTTATTTTTTTATTATCATTAAACCCATTCCCTACCCAAAGGATGATAACAATTATTCTTTCCATTGGATACTAAGTTCAGTAGCTATGGTATTAGGCTGGTGGTTTTATTTTGGAATTTCTTGAAAGAAAATGATTTCAGTCTGAGTTTGAGGGTCCACACCCTCATTACAGACCCAGTCTATTGTCCTGGAATTGCTCTTTCCACTTTGGGTAGCGTGCGTTGATGCTTTTTGCATTGGTAAACTGATGCGGCTGGAACAATAACTTCGCAGGTTCCTCTGACAGGGCGGTTCTTGCCATGCTGGCAAAGCGCCAAGCCAGGCTACCAGCCCAGGCTCCTTTTCCCAAGTTCCACCCAGACGCTGCGTGCGCCGTCATCCTGCTGAAATGTAAACCCCAGATTCAGCTGTGTTTGTTATGGTTGCGGCGGCCCTCAGTGAACACACAACCCTGTCACAACGTACCTATAACAGCAGGACTATATTTCAACAACAATCTATTTGGTCAGCTGCAATTACATCACTCGGTGGTCAAACACACACGAATGCTGGAATGATAATTAGGATTATTTCACAGGCACTCTTAGCAAGGGTCCTCGATGAGGCTCTTATTTCCTAACACACTACAACGTTTCATACACAGACTTAACTCAAGTGCTTTTAAGTGTGTTTTGGCAGCTTTACTCTGACCAGACTGACCTGTGTTCACTGGCACACCATTATTATTGTTTTTGTTATGGATGGTGTATTAAACAGCAGGACCTACTATCCCCTATTGTCTGTTGCAACAATCTAGTTACACCGTAAACAATAGTTTAAACTGAACGCTGGTGTTGCCCACCAGATCACTGGCCTGTCATACTAATGATTATTTACTTAAGAGAGAAAATGAGTAACCAAGAAAGTCTAATTTCATCCTGAAATGACCCCAGTGAGGTGAAAGGGGGACACATCCTTAACTATGACCAGACTCGCAATCTGCACGCTGGTACAACAACCTTTGCATGTTGTTTTTCTTCTTTTCCTCTTATCAGTGCATACAAACCAAAGTTACAGCATAACGGATCTAAAGAGAGGCTAATTTAGAATATAAATCTGTTGTGCAAATAGCAGGGGGTCTCTGCAGTGTGGCATTAGTCAGGTTGGTAATTTATTGTGAGAGCTGAGTGTTTCCATTTGCAGTAAGAGCCACTAAAAACAGACTTTCTGGAGGTTTCTGGGGGGCCGACTTGTAAAAGTACTGTAGCGGTGTGAGTTGGCTCATGGCCTGACAACCTGTTTGGGAAGGTGTATGGATGGGCTTTTGATGAATACACAATCCAGTCATCACAAAGTAGACCTTACTCTTGCAAAATATGCCGCTCTAGAGTATTTTGTTCAGAACAGCAGCATTTAGCTTTCAGAAAAGGTCCCTCAAAAGAAATCAAATAAGTGCAAGCAAACATGAGCAGGTGTACATGATGGGCATTTCAAATCGCAGTATGTTGGTCGATAATATGTTTGTCTCACAATAAAAAAACTTGCACTCAAATATCAAGGTAATGCCCAAAGTGGTCATCATAAAGCGTCATAATAACTATATTACAAAGACGTATAAATCTCGTTAATACTAACTTAATGCTGCCCTCTACTGAATTATTAGAGAACATATATAAAATATAGATATACATTACCCTATATTGGCAGGGAATTTTAATATAACAGATATTCACAACAGTTTACAGTTTACAAAAGTAAACTGCATGGGAGATGTCACCAATTCAAGAACAAACAAGAAAACCATGTTACAAAACAACAAATATCAAAAGCTAGATAACCTTTATGTTTTTTGTATGTTAGCCTACTACAGAAGTGTTATGTCTTGTGCTATATATTTCCATTTATGTTAGCTTATCAGATCAAACTTACACATCTGACCTTAACTCTATGCAAGTTGGAAAGTAATGCAAAATTCACATAGAGGAAAGCTCTTCGGCAGGGTTCAGGTTGGCTGTTTGGTTGGATTTCACCTGGACTTGATTTGAGACTGATACTGCTGTATAAAACTACAGTCAAGTTTAGCTTGGCTGCCTAGATGTTCACTCTGTCACACAGAAATGGGAAAGATTCAAGAAACAAAAGCCAGAAAACCAAAGACCAAGGAAAACATAACAATGTGCAACAGCACATGATACAGTATAAGCATGCAGATCAGCATCTGGGAAAGTACCATGCACAGCATATTTATGGTTTGACTAAACCAAAGATACTGTAAATACCAATTCAAATTGTACATTTGGAAATAACATATGTATATATATTCACAAATAGACCTAGTTCGTATCAATTGACAGAGGAGAAAGGAGGATGTTGCTGTTTGGCAGCATTTCACTTTCTGTATGAGACTACAGACATACCAAACCTGGCTGGACACAGCCCCCCCCTCTTCAAGGATATTTTCTCCCACCTGTAATATTATCCAAAATGCTTTGTTTCAGAAACTCCCTCAGCAAAATGAAACCAAGGAACACCTGTAGTTGTACGTTTATCCAGGCTGTGAGCCAATGATAAGGCTGTTAAACCCAAACAAGGTTAGATAATGCAGTCAAAATGAGAGTGCTCTATTAAGTCAATGATATGCATTTTAGGTCTGCCATCATCAATAAATGTATAAACAAATAATAATTCTCATACATTTAGATGAGTCCTATAGAAACCATTTTTTAGATAAAGGCACAAGGAATTAAGAAGCTTTCATTATACAGAAAGACAGAAAACTTTCTATTTCTGCTGCAGTCACATGATTCTATATTATGGAGTGCAGCATAACCCCTGTCCCCTCTTAGCCCACAGACTTGGGCTGTGTCTTTTCCTGAAAGAGTTGATTGATTGGCCATCAGTGGAGACACGCTCCTTGAATGAGAGCGCTCACCACATAACCATCAAGTAAACAGACATAGAAGTCAGGGCCAGCAAAATCCCTTGTGTCTCCATACCATCCGTTAGGAAGGCAAAGCCGGATCTCATGTATCTGTGGTCAGACAAGACCGCTACCACTTCCTCGTATTGCAAGGCTGCTTGAAAACCACGCTAGTGTGTGCTCTGTTTCCCCAACCTTTTTTAAGGGTTGGAATTCACATAACCATGTGGTGTGCTTCTGGAGTGTGGGACTTCCTTAAGATTGGACTGTTTATCAGTTGAATCAAACTAAATGGCTTCGACATATGAATCTTTATATGTTTATGAAAAATAATCCATAAATTCATATGAAGGAAATCGCTTTGTGTTGTTCTCATTGCTGTCAGTACGACATCTTTCATGGTATGGCCGGTTTGGTAGAAGTGAGAGGTTTACACTAAATAAGGCCAGACTGGTGATTGAGATAGTCAGCTTTCCCCTGAATTCCCTCACACAATGCAACCTCCTGATTTCTGGTTATATATCTATATATAAATATACAATTTAAATATATATTACATATTTAGTTTTATGCCAAATCTAGTCAGGTCTACAATTATGGAAAAGTAATAGTCCCCCTTCTGGTGACAACAGACTGACAGTGGTAGTCAGCTGATGCCAACAGCTGGGTGCCAACAGGATGTTATAATACTAGAGGATATAAAGTGAGCCACTTCCCCAAGACAACATGCTCAGAGCCTGGAACACTAATTAACATCCGTTTCTAGCTTGCAAATGTTTTGATTTTCTCTGTTGTAATTTGTCACATGGGAGCCAGCTGTGAAAGGAATTGCCTGCAAACCATCCATCCATCCATCCATTATCAATACCGCTTATTCCCTCATGGGGTCGCGGGGGGGAACTGGAGCCTATCCCAGTGGTCAACGGGCGAGAGGCAGGGTACACCCTGGACAGTCCGCCAGTCCATCGCAGGGCCACACACAGGACATACAAGGACAAACAACCACTCACACTCACATTCACTCCTAAGGGCAATTTCCCCAATCTCCAATCAGCCTAACATGCAGGTTTTTGGACTGTGGGAGGAAGCCGGAGAACCCGGAGAGAACCCACGCAGACACAGGGAGAACATGCAAACTCCACCCAGAAAGGTCCTGGTTCCCCCGGGATTCGAACCCAGAACCCTCTTGCTGGGAGGCGACAGTGCTAACCACCACACCACTGTGCCGCCCTGCCTGCAAACCTTTATAGAGAAATGAAGTTCGAGAAGCTAATTTAAACAACTTAGTCTTCTTCTTGATATTAGCAAAAACTCTCATTCCATTCTTTCCTTAGTTTAATTAAATTTTTATAAGGTGTTGTCACAAATGTTAAATGGTAATATCATCCAACTGATTCAGTTTACAGAGCCAGCAAAACAAAAGATGATAGCATTCCTCTTAATTTTTTCCTAAAAGTGATCATTTACTTGTTTCTAAGGTACAACAGCACATATAAGAAATAAATAAGCAGGTACCATACAAGATGTTTATACAGATGCCAGGTATTATAGGAGAGTAGTTAGGACTATTTTAGGCATACTTTCATTAAGGAAATGCCACCAATCCCACAATTACAGTCATCAATAAAGACAGAGGAAGCAACTGATGCAGAAACATCCACACACTTCAATTTGAGAACAACTCATCTATTGGCTTGTTGCATATTCACAATGATAATGAACCACAATAATATGAACAAACCACAATGTTGAGTGTCAATTATTTACAATTATTACCTGTGTTTTATTGTTTCCATATCTTAAACATGTAATTTATAATTTATTAGGTATTTATTCTATAATATTTAAAAGACAGAAGAGTGCTTTATATTCTCTATCACATGTCCTAGTACTTGGTTGACCATTTAAAGTGTCTAATTTTATAGGACATCACTTGATGCAGAACTGTTATATTGAGACATGCAATATTAAGTCAATGGAAAACTGTGCCAGAGAGGAAAGATGACCCCTTTGTCATTAGAAACACAAAAGGAGAGAACAGTAGTAAATAAGTAGAGATACAGATTTCAATGTAATTACACAAGCCACATTTTTGTTATTATTTCTGTAAACCTTTATGGAAAAGTCAGGATGAAATCAAGTGTACCGTTCATTCTTTGTGCCATTAAGTAAAGTCCACGGAAACAGTCTGGAAAAGAGTGGTTAAATGCAATGGGTACTAATTACTTTTTCCCTTAGTTTTGTTTTTAATTGTTGTTGTAAAAAGTGTGATCTATAATGTGCCACTTGACGGATGAAAATGATCTCTTTATTCTTATAACATGCACTGAGGACACGTGCCATTCCACTACCACTACTGACCACTACCAGCATGAATCAGAGGGGCACTGGCCCGGGTGTGCTGTCCCCGACTGATTTCCAACAGAAAGCGTGGGCGTAAACTGGCTGAATCAAGCCACAAGCACCACTGCCCGCTGCTTAGAGTAGAGAGGGGGACACATTATGGCTGTAATAACCAAGGAGTCTCAGTCAAACCCAATTCTCATTGATAAATAAGGAATGACAATCACAGTAATTTTTTCAGATAAGCAGTGCAAACATAGTAGCTTCACAGAGAAATCAGATCCACCTCTCTGTCATTTGGCGTCGACGGTAGAGGAAGGCTTAATTCTTATGGAAACAGTGTTTTTTTACACACTTGTCTGCGTGGCCATATGTCAACTCATTTATTTCACAGACTGAACCTCTGCTTTGTGTTCCTGAACATATTTCAGGACACTTTGACCCTTACAAATATATATAACCGAATATCACTATATCCTCTTAACTACATGTTCTTACTGATGAATTTCTGTACTCTCAAACTGTACTGATCTAACGTAGGACGCGATAAGCCATTGGGTGCATTTGTCAGGAGGAACAGGCATCGTCTTAAAGGAGAGGACTACAGCAGCCTTTTCATGCGGCACGTGTGCTTCTCTATGTGCATGGTGGCCCGGTCCGTTGAGTTCGTCAGGACGTCCAGAGCTTCATCCTGCCGTTCCAGCTCCGTCTCGGCCTCCAGTGCGAGGTTCTTCAGCTGCCTCAGCATCTGCAAACACACGTTTATGGCGTGACGCAGGGCGCGGCAGTCATTACAATACATGTCAAGCCACCGTGAACATGGGTAACTAAGGAACAGACACAAACAACAGAAGATCGAATATTAAAACTGCATCAGCAGTCTCGTGGTGGAACATGCGGACCATATGTGGAGAGCTACAAAGGTAGGGGTCACCGAGTTAAAAAGCGTGTAAGTGTAATAAAACAGATTTAATTGAGATATCTGCTTCTTTATTTTGCCGACAAAGAAAACACCTCGCTTCTTGATGTGCGTACATCAGAAGAAAGCATCATAATTCAACACCAACAGTCATCCAATAAAGGTTATTCACGTGACAGATGTGATATTTCAAAGTATGAAGGAATGAAACATGAGAATACACCATGAAAGTCTCCGCTTGTCTCCTGGGACCATTTAGAAACAATTTTGTTTGTTTTTTGCTTTCAGCAGGGTTAAGGAATACTGAACTGCATGTCCATGGTGTAATAGCTGTGTATGTTATGGTTAATGGGACAGCTTAAATATACTGCAATGTGCCAAGCAAAACCTAATAAACACTCACTTCAAACCATACCACCCTGGTTTCTAAACCCGTTTTATGCTACAAGTGCTTATACAAACCCAGCTCACATACACACACACACTAGCTTGAGATTATGTCAGTTTTCACTGGCTGGTTTATGAGGACATTTCGGCTCGACGCTGCAACAGCCACAGGCAGCACAGGAAAACAGATAGTATGTCAACGCACAACAAGGAACCGCTGCATTCACTCACTCAGCTCCATGACTTCATTATTTAAAACGGGATGACACGGCTGAATCACACCTAGCAGTTAACATTAACAAGAGCCTGAATGTGTCCGAAAAAAAGGAAAAAGAGAAAACACAGGAGAAGAGTATTTTTAGCTTTTGCTTATACAGTGGCTAGAGACCTTCAGTCATGTAGAAAATCCTAAAATTAAAACATTTAGGCTACGACTAACAGACAAATGCATAAGCAGAAATTCTAAATGTGTTCACAGGTGGGGGAAATTTCAAGATGTTAACTTTACTGACGTGTACACACATACACACAAATAGATAATCAATAAATTTGTAATCTTGTCTGAACAAAACGTGAGATCGTTTTAAAACTAAGATGTGCAAACTTACAGAAAAATAGGTGTCTGGTAAGAAGGCAACATTTCCAAGATTCAAAACTGACTGGGTTTAATTTTCAGTTGCACCAAGACAGGCACATCCACCACATTCAGCCTCATTGCGCAGTGAGAGGTTCTTTTTGCCTTTTCTTTCTGCTAACCCTTCATATTCTGTTGAATTCTTCTTCTGTGTTGAGCTTCTCTTACAGTCACCTACATTTGTGAGACCGATAATTTTCTGATATTTTTTTAGACGTGTACATTTGCTTGCTGTTTGGATAGCGAGCAGTAAACCTGTTTGCCCGCGAGGCATATGAGATTTGAGTCAACATGCAAACTTTCATGACATTAATGGCATGCTATAAAGCTCCAGTGTGCTTAAATCATGTTAAGTTACCAGGATGTCAAGTCCCACCCTAAAAGTAGCCCGAAAATATATAGCCATCTCTCATTTTACGGTCTCTACTACACTACCATGGTAAGCATGGTGGCCAAATGTAGCCGCTGTACAGTGTGACGTGAAACGTGGCTGAGATTAAAAAGCTGGGACAAAAAGGAATGTTTACAACAGACCTTGAAGATGAGTGGCCCTCTGTTCAAGTTTTGTCAAAGTAGATTCTAATCTTGAATTACGCTAAAAGCAGGGCGTGTGAAGCGGTGCTTCAATAAGTCCCATACAAGCGAACCTTTGTGGCTGTCCTAGTGCTGGTAAAGCTTTGAGATTTATATAGAAAAATAATTATCACAACAAAACGCAATAAGCCTGCGATTCCTGTCATTATGTGTAATTATAACCAATATTTATGATAGAGAGAGGTAACAATGACTCAACAGAGATATTATGTATCAAATGTGTACAAAACATTATGAAGTGTAAGGACAGACTTCACAGTTACTGAGCTGTAACAACATGGACGAAAACACTCGGAATCAGTAAAAGCCATGAGTGGGTTTTAACTGTTATCCGTCTTCATTCTGTATTTTTACATTTGGAAAATTTGGACATGTTTTTTGCTTTGCATGTAATAGGGGGACAAATCAATTACAGTCTGTATGTCCATCTTAACTAATATATGATTTATGATGATCTAATGTGAGACTAGAGGAAGTGTTTCATGGATTTGTGTTGTTCTGGATAAAATGCTAAAATGTCTGTCACTGTATAACCACTCTCACACACGCACTCAAACCTTCAAATGTCCCGAAGATGTTCCAGAGTGGTAACATGTGAGAACTCGAATGTTTCCAATATTTGCACGGCTGAGATTATCCCCCTTTTTTAAATTTCCCCTACACATGGTCCACATTTCTTCGCGTACCCCCACATAAGCTTTCATCACACTTTAGCTCTTGCTGTAAGATTCATTCAGTCATTTGTTAAACTCTGCCCTTCATGCAGAGGAAAAGCAGCATGCTGCAAGTTTTACATGAAATGTCTTAGTCTAAGCAACCAGGAGCAGTGAGTCACAAACATTAAAAAAATCATCAGACTTATGGGTATGAATTTGCGTCACTGTGTAGGTCTTGCCACCACAGACCATGTCTGTAACAGCTCTCAGCATTGGGAGCTTCTGAGTGGAAAGGCACTGAACAGTCTGACCAAGTAACTGACCATGCTTCTTTTCCTCTCTTAAAACTAGGATGGACTTTGGTTTGTGGTCTCACCAGATAACATTTTAAACATACAGGGTGAAAAATAAAAATCATTACAGAAAGTTGTGGTTTTGGAATGGAAATATAAAAATACATGTTTCTGAAACCATTGCATTACTTGTGATAACAAATTAAATTATTTGAGGCCTGCATGTGTAACCTTTGTGTGTTACCTGATTTGTATCAACAAATGTTGACATCAATAAAGCATTAATGTCTTAATGTCTTAATGCCTTATTAGTTTAATAGTGTTATACCCTCACACTGGCAATGTGAATCCAACGTTCTTACCTGCTTGAGTTCCTGGGCCTCAGCCTGACTGACAGATGGCTGGAGGACTTGCACCTGCAACTGGGACAGCTCTCCTGCTGGGACCTCCACTGGGAGCTCAGTCTCTTGGCACCTCTGCAGAAAACCTGACTCCATTTGAGTTACGATGGAGAAAAATGTGGAGAGTGCATATGTTGTTTTGAGGAAACCAGACAGTAACACAAAGGACTGTGCTGCGACTGAGGCAATGAGGGTGAAGTGACTCATCAAAATATATTTCAGTTGAAGAGAAACACCAACAGCCGTGATTAATGTTTTTACATGTGGCTGCACTTACAAATGTTTGGACCGGCAAAAATGGATCTATGCTGCCTCTCAGTGGTCAAATTTGTATCAAGCATGTTCCTTACCTTCATTCCAGTGTGTCCCTTCCATGTCGCATGGAGATGAAAGTGGAGTTGCCTTAAAAGCTGTGTATTCACTTGTGAATTCTACCTTCTTTTTGTACTGCATCTCTAGCACGGACATCGCCTCTGGCATCTTGGCAGAAAGGAGCCTGTAACACATATCTGGCTTCCCAATGAATCGCTGTCTAACCGTAATCTCATAGGGGCTGTGCACCCGGATCTCATCTATTTCATTCCGCTCAAATCGGTGAAGGAGTATGCAGTTTGTGTCTCGCACCTCCAGTGAGGATACTAGTACCAGGAAACACCCAGGCTTCAAGTCAGAGTTTCCACCTTTGGACAAAACTGCTGGGATGCTTACAATAACTTTAGTTTTACTGGTGCCTCTGGCTGCAGAGGCGGCAGCTGCAGCTGCAGCTCTGGCAGCGTCTTCAGCTTTGGCCTCTTGCTGGGTCTTCCAGGGGAGCTTACCAAAAGGCCACCAGGGGGGAGACTCAAGTTCTGACAGAAGCCTGCAAGAAAGATTAGTTAGGAACAGCAGCAGTTGATGTAGTAGCTACTTGCTGCGAATTTAAAGAAAAATGCACACAACATCATCAAGACATGTGCCAAATTTCACTGTAGATTAAGTTTTAAGATAATTACTTATCAGCCACGCCCAAATCAGAGTCAATTTTCTCCAGTCCTTGCATCATGTTGTCAAATTGCTCTCCCTGGTGGCTGAGAACTCTACCAGTGTCCTCCAGTCTTTTCTGGGCACCTGCTACCAGGCTGATCAGCTCTCTGCCCTTAGTGGGCTGAGACTCAGCCCGTCCAGTCTCTGAGTTGGGAGAAAGAAGACGCTCTCTCCAGAAATGCTCCATCACATTATAAACCACAACCCGGTTGGGCTTGAGGGAGCCAAACCAGTGCTTGACATTGCCCATTTCAAGCACAGTGAGGGTGCTGAAGATGAAACTAGATGCCTCCATCTTAATCTCCATGATCCGAGACAAACGGAAGCTGCAGAGGCTCTCCTTGCTTTGACTGGAGGTGAAGTACACCGTGGTTCTGGTGAGTGACAGGGTTCCATTCTCCCATCGCTTCTCGCCGTTGATATAGTAAGAACCTGGCCAGCTGTGGATAGCAGTGTCCCGGCTCATTCTGAGAGGAGATGTACAGACTCACCTGGGAGAAGGCCAAGTAAGCTTTAGCATGGAGTTGTTAACACTGCTGTGTCTCCAATACACAGCTGTACAACGAATCTACTGTAATAACTGATCTGTGATCAAGCACAATAAATCTAGATATAAAGTAATATATACTTACTTCAGTGTGATCCAAAGAGCAGATCAGCTCAAATGAGGCATTCAGAGAAGCAAATCCTGACCTAAATCAGCATTAAAAGTGCGTCACTACACTTTGATAGCCCTAATAGATGATTTTACTTTATTTTAACCATATCGTAAACATTCCACATTGCATTTGTTGTGGATACTAGACCGAGCGTTACGTTACCTCGTAGTCTTCTAATAAACTGGTGTTTATTACGGAAGTGATGTAAACATCCAGTACGGCTTTATTTACTGTCCGACTGGAAAATTCTGCAAGGCCAAGTAATACATGACATTTTCAGGGGGATAACAATTGTTTTTGATGACGTAGGCTTTTAATTTAAGCAAATTACGTAAAATATTACCTTTTGAAATAATAATTTTAAAGTAAAGTAAGTAAGTAAAGCAATACCCAGACAGAAGTAGCAGTGGTATTAAATGTGCAACGCTGAGGTCATGCTCACTCATGTGGCGACCTGTCGTAATAAGACAAAGAAAGGCTTTCTCCTAATATAAAGGTTTATGTTCTACCTAGACTACACTATTTTACGAAAGCACATATGTGCCAATGGAAAATCTATTTTGCAGTCAGTTTTTGTCTCAGTTCCCAGCTTTTCAAACCCTGACAGCTAAGGTCGCTAACTAGCCTTTCGAGGTATTGTTTACCACCATGGACCGAGACGCCTACCGCAACTGCAGCAGCCTGGTCAAAATACCAAGGCAGTCATATGAACAGTTTTGGTCTTCGCATTTTGTAGACTACATCGACAAAGAGCTGAGCTATTCTAAATTTTTCAAGAAATACCTACTGCCTAATCACCCATGTATGTTTTCAAGAAGGTTCACAGAGGAATGGAAGTGTAGAAAACATTGGGTGACTGAAGAGGGGAAACCTCATTTCCAGAAACTACTGCAAGAGTTTGGTAAATCTGACTTAATTATACATCACATGGTAACAGTTGCATTGACAAGTGACATATAAGATAACGCGAATACGTTTTTTTGTTCCTTGCTTTTTTATCTTACAGATGAGACTCCAGTCCCTGTTGCAAATTGCAATGCAAAAGAATATAATGCTAACCCAAAACAAGTAATACCATTTAAAGAATTTATACTTTACTGGAAGGAATATATCCAGAATGGACACTCTTCACCCAAAGGATGCCTCTATCTTAAAGACTGGCACATGTCAAGGTATGTTGGTATGAAGATGGAACTAAATATCTTTGAGATGTGCAAATTTCTAAATATTTTAATATGACTAGAAAGGGTTGTTAGATGTGTCTTTGAAAGCAACTGGCAAAACTGAAGATGCTTTTTTTGTGCTGGTGGGGTAAGGATGAATTTGTTTTATGCAACATTTTTTTTGTATTTTTCACCATTTTCATATTACTTTATATTTTGTGTTGGAGTGAATTATGTCACCAGTTGTACCACAGATGTAGTTTATACCGAATAACAAATTACATTTGAGAATAATCTGATCCCATAATTCGATTGCTCAACAGGGACTTCCCTGAACATAACGTTTATTCTACACCCATCTTCTTCTCTTCTGATTGGCTAAATGAATACTGGGATACACTTGAGGTAGATGATTACCGGTTTGTGTATATGGGACCCAAAGGCTCATGGTATGAAAAATAACACATTACATTGGTAAAACTCACCTCATGAAATAGTGTTTTATTTCCTTCTTTTACTTTGTTATAACGCTATGTACTTTGTCCCTAGGACACCGTTCCACGCAGATGTGTTCCGCTCCTACAGTTGGTCTGCAAACATCTGTGGCAGGAAGAAATGGCTCCTGTATCCTCCAGGTCAGGAGGATTTTTTAAGAGATACTCATGGCAACCTCCCTTATGATGTTACGTCAAGTGAGCTTCAAGACAGAGGCCTTTTCCCCCATTTTGAAGAAGCCTGCCAGCCTCTAGAAATCATTCAAGAAGCAGGGGAAATCATTTTTGTGCCTAGCGGATGGCACCATCAAGTTTATAATCTGGTGAGAGCAGGAGGACTATCGGTCCCGCTGAGCTGTAGAGACATTTTCTACCAAATAAATTATATGTATTACTAAAATTATGAGGATGCTATTTGAATTGACCTACATTAAAGTTGTAGGAAAATGTTTGGATTTTTTTTAATCAGGTTACAATGTTCAGTTATTTATCTTGTTTCTTCCAGGAGGACACCATCTCTATTAATCACAACTGGCTGAATGGCTGCAACATTGACATCATGTGGCAATTCCTTCAGAATGAGCTGTCATCAGTTCAAAAAGAGATAGACGAGTGGAGAAACACAATGGATTCATGGCATCAGCACTGCCAGGTACAGGCCACAAAGGGCGGCTCAGTCAGCACATCCACAAATGCACAGCTGCTACAGATGTTCCTAACTGAGTGTTGATTTTCGGATGCGTTTCCTTTCAGGTCATCATGAAAGCCTGCTCTGGTATCGATTACAGGGAATTTGCCTCTTTCTTGAAAATTGTTGCCGAAAACCGGATGGCTTTCCTGAATGCCTGCTCCTCTGGTGATGCCTCGGAATACTCAAGGAATCTGTCGGACACCTTGACCATGCTTGGACCGTACCATGCTGCCTTTGACCTACAAAGAGTGGCTCACATTATCGAATGCCTCTTGTGCAATGAAGATTTTAAGCGGCTTGATCATTCGACACTGACTTTGCAGCCAGAAACTATGTTACAGCAAATCCGAGACACCATACAGTCCACAAGGGGGCAACATCTCCTTTATCAAGAATAACGTCCTTCTTGATGTTTTCACCTGGAGTAACCTGAATGGAAAGTGCCAACTCATTTAGTGTGAAGTCCTTCGGCTTGGTTTCCGTCATGTCTGTGTGTATATGAAGTGAGTTTTGCATATTTATTAAATAATCAGAAATACATTTTATTATACAACTCTGAAATAGCACTGCGATAAATAACACTTCAAAATGTAACATCTTCCTGTGCGCTTTTCCAGCTGTAAAGCAGTGACAGTGTAACATTCCACACTCTGGGCTCTGTCATTGAGAAATCTGTCATAAGGAATGCATGTCACTTTACAGGGAGCTGCAAAACATCTTCCTCAGTTTGTTTACACATCTTTAGGCCACCAGTCTGGCACAGAGGCCTCGAGTTGAACTATAGTGTCGTCTGAAGATTTGAGTGTTAGCACCTCTTTGGCATGAGCCATGCGGATTAGGCTCAGACCCAGCTCCTCCACCCCTGCTCGGTGCTTCCCGGCTGGCTTGCCCGCCTGCGTCTGCAGCGCGGCTCCTTCCTGGAGGTCTTGGACTGGGGTTGACAGTCGCACTGGCATGAGGCGTTTGCGAATCACTCCAGTGTGATGAGTCCTGGCTGTGAGCTCCTGGCCGATATAACAGCCCTTGCTAAAGCTGATACCCTGCATGTAGACGAGGTTTGACTCGAGTGGCAATGCCACCCCAGGAGGAAGGTCCTTAACTCCTTCAGGAAGGCCTACACAACAATGACAAAAGAAAGTACAAGCACCACTTGTTATGCATTGGCTGAGACAAATCCCTCTCTTCAAAACCATTTAGCTCTTTTCTCATAAAAACCGTACCCCGTTACTAATTGGTCATACCTATTGCATAACGATGTCTGTGATAGTCCTCTATGTCTCCTATTTGACAAGATGTAATGATATCCAAGGCATCAACTTGACTGTTCAACACCAGTCTCCATCCCATGCGTGGAGTACGCGGGTCAGATTCCCATACCAGAGCCTTTTCAGGGACAGAGAGCTCAGGTGTTTTGGGCTCTTGGTCCGAGTTGTTTTTCTGAGACAGCACCGCCCATACAGAGAGCTCAGGACAGGGGAGAATTTTGACCTGTCTGCGGAGCTTGTAAACCTTCAAGTGTCTTAGGATTGAGTCCTTCATAGTGCTGTCACATTCCAGGAAAACACCACGTCCTTCTTCTGTTTCTTTCAGACTGAAAGGAAATACAGGAAGTTGAGCTCCTCATAAAACAAATGGCACATGTTTTCACTTATTTTTTCTAGTTGGTGCTAGGATGGGAAACAGATGTGTTCAAGAGGTTCTATGTACCAATTACAACACATGGAGTGTGAGTCTAAATTTCGACCCGCCCCCCCAAACAAATGTGGAAAAGGAACCTCTGCCATTCACATGCATAGTAATTACAGCTTCATATCATATTGCATCTGCCATTTAAACACAGGATTCAAATTGAATACTTTTTCTGTACATCCAAACAAGCTATTTCAAATATCCACAATCCCTAATATCCAGGAGGGAAACACAGGTGGACGTTGTGTCACTTAGTACATTAAGTTTCAGACCATTTAACTATCTTACACATTGAACTTTTGGAAACATTCAATTTAGTATGTGGTCCATCAATTGTTATTTTTTGCTATTTTATTCTTAAACCCAAGTTAAAATGTCTAAAATAATTTAACAAGGCCAAACACAATTCGTGGTCGCTGTCTTTCAAAATAGTAGAAATCATTCTCAGCCTGTAGCTGAGGTAATGGTCATTTTGTACAAAGAACAAGTCATGGGTAATCAAGTCAATTAGAAGGAGATACAGGATAAAACAAAATGCCATGCTGTGTTAAAAACCAAAAAGAAGAACATCATGAGAAAGACCCAGACAGCCAGAATGAGAATCCAAACAATAACAGGAATGGGAGGAGTCTTTAAAAATGAGCAATTTGACACTGATACAACAAAATGAATGGAGATGCAAGAGATGACTAAAAACTATGAAAGTGTTACTGTTAGCTGACTAATGGCACCAAAGCATGAGTCTCATAATGATTGTTACCACAATTCAGGTATGTGCATGACTGGTTAAACAATACCTCTACTCTGGAAACGGGGAAACCCTGCATGAATGACAGTAAATCTGCAAGAGAGCCATCTTGTATGAAGTGACTCTTAAGAAACTGTAAAGTTAGATAGGATCCAGCCCTATGCATGCTATCACCTGGAAATGAAGGCCTCTATTTGGTGTTTATTTACAAAACATTTGAATTACGTGTCAGCAAATGTCACTGCCTTTGTGTATATCTAAATAAAGTGCATTCCTACCTGTACAACAAGATGTCATACAGAGTCCTTCCTTGGACATTGAGCATATGAGCGTACATGGCCTCATGCTCTGGCTCATCCAGCAACCCCATGTCGTTGGTTATAAGCCCCTGAAGAAACGGACTCGTATCTTGTCCTTGGATCTTGAGCAGGGTCCTGTGTGCGAGTCGATAGCACACGAACTGCTTTCTGACATGTTCACTCGTGTCCTGGCTGTACCTCTTGACTGGGACGCCCGTTGCAGCTGAGCCACAGGAGATAAGCTGAACTCTTAAGCCGGTGCTTTTTCTGGTGAAAACACCAAGCCCAGAGAACGCTCCCCGGACGAAGCACAAAACACCCATGTTGTACAATCATAAACAAATGTTATGAATTGTAAAATTGTGGCTTACTCTTTCAACAACAACTGCAGAACGCTACATAACCGAGGACATGATAACTTGTCCGCGAAGAGTGGGCTCCATTTTGATTACCCACAATGCATTGCTCGATGACAGACGATCACGTGAAAACTGTTTTGCAAAAACTAGATGAACGTTTCCATTCGTGAGAACGTTTGAATACTGAATGAATAATGCTTTACAATAAGTTCAGTGCATTGCAGGTTAGTAATCCTATTGATATTTTAAAAGATACATATTTAAATTTGAGGAGCTTTGTAAATATGTTTTGCTTTTCTTTTATTTGTTATACATTTACACATTAAATCAAGAACGTGAATTTACTGAAAAACATCAGGTGCAAGGACTGGTTTGAAAATGAGCAAAGTAGCCACTGTAGAGATTTTTCCAGCCTTTCTTTTCTCGCATTTTCATCAGATTATACCTACATGATATGTTATTTAATCTGAAGTAATACAAAATCAATCACCAGAAAGGTATAATGTTTTATTCATTAATAATACCAACCTAGTTATCTTGTTTGAACCTCGGTTCAGTAAGCACTGGTATTAATTAAAGTATCCTTAGTGACCAGCATCTTTGTATTCGAAAAAACACAAACAAAGCCACATTTGAATGACAGGAACACACAAAAATTAGTTATGGGTCACATTTAATCCTTATGTTACACCAACCCACCTTTATAATTGTAGTGTTTCGAAATTAGGATACTGGATGTCACCGTTTTCCAAAAGAAATTCAGCTGAATACAAAATTAAGTTGGAATAATATAATTGTTGTCTGATTCTTAACTTTCTAATGCTCTGCACATTTTGAATTAGTGATCAATTTAAACTGCAGGCAGGCCAGTCAATAACACACATTGTATCACAGAAGTATTTCTTTTGTAAGACTTGCAGAGTGAGATCTGACACTCTCCTGGTGAAGTAACCACAGATGAGACAATAAGTTGCCCTGGTTGTGGAATTTTTATAAAAGATTCCAAGGTATTCCTCTGCCTCAGTAAAACCTTCACACTTACAAAAGTGCTGTTTTCTACAAAATAAAATTGTTTTGTGTTTCAGACAATACCAATATCCCTCCTCCCAGTTTTTATTTGTTAAATGAAAGTAATTTTCTACACTTCTCTTAGAGCATGCATGGTTTTAAAATAAATTCATCTGATTAAACAGTTATAACTAGGATGTATTTTGTATTATATTTTTGCCATAAGAAAATGTAAATGTCCCAAATTTCCTGTATGCTTCTAAGCTCCCACACTTTAAATCTAATAAATGTTAGAATTGGGCTTCTTAAAAAAAAAAGTAAATCTGAGATTTCAAATTAATTTATTTTCTCTTGATTAAAATACCAAAACAGTCTTTGAAAGTTTGAGGCACTTTGACATTTTAAAACAGCGAAGGCAGGATTAGCTATTATCAGAGACTAACTGTTTAAGTGACAGAAAAAGGAAAATCATATTCTTCTTTTCTAACAGCCTAAACATGAGATAAGAGGTTACTGAATAGGTAAGGATATTAGTGCTACTCCTATAGTATATTGAATGTTCCCAGACGTAAAGCATGCATAATCTTCTTCAGTATTTTATCAAGAAAATAATCTATGCTTCTATTTACTGCTTTCTGACACTGAAAGGCTTTAAAAACAAAATGATAGACAAAGGCTTCTCACGCAATCATCACACTAAGCAGATGGTTCCCAAAAAAGCCTTCGGTGACACATCCCTGTTTCATTATCTTTATCAAACATTTCCCATCAGTCTTGCAGCAACTGACACTCATCCATCCAAGCATACCTTCCCAAATATCAAACATGCATCTTTCTATCAACAATCATCTCTCTCCACAAGTGAGTCATTGTGCAATAGCAGTGCTTTGTTCAGCAATTACAATACAATCACATGTTTTAAAGCCAAACCTGTCCAGATGCATCCAGTTTGCTTGTGGATGGAAAACTAAGATAACTAGTTTGAAGCAATCCATTTACAGTTTATCTGGAATTAGAGATCCTAGACTAAGCAAGAATGTCTTGGCTTTATCCAACGTCTATGGCAAGTGCAACATGACTCACTACAGTAACAGAAAATACTCTTGATATTGGACATTTATAATTTCTTTAGGTGTTTTAACATTTATTCCCAAAAACTAAGCCTTCATTGTACTCTGTTTCTTCAGTTAGTGTGATTGAAATCTCAGTTGTAATTGTCCAAAGTTGAATTTCTCCCCCAGTCTCCAGCTGTGTACAGTGAGGTTTGAGAGACTTTCAATCCAAGAGTTTTTACTGTTGTTATATATAGATTAGTATTTAGATCCAGACAGATGTCTTTCCATTCTTCACAATGGTAGCAGTCTTTTCTGTTGTTGACTTTGGTCTCGCGCCTTGTTTCTCCTGGACTGTGTTGACTCGATTTTGCTCTGCCATAGTGCCCCCAGATACAGGACTGCTGGTTCTGGAGATTTGTTGGTTGGTTTTGCTTTGATAGGTTTGAAAGGCCATATCAAGTTGTTCCTGTGCAACCCGAAGGTGCCGGTGCAGACTTGCAAGATCAGAGGGAATGTTCTCGTCTGGGCTGGTACACTGCTGCTCCTGGGCAACATTAGCCATGTTCTGCTCATGGGTGAGGAGGCTATTTGGGATCCTGCTTGGCTTGTCTGTTTTCATCACAAGGTTGTACCCTGGTGGGGAGGATGGAATGTTGCGAGAGAAGGGATAGCCATAGGACATCGAACGTCGGTCTCGGTTTCTCTTCAGGCGAAGGGTGTCCCGAAAAGTACCGATCCCTAAGTGAAGCATCTCACACACATTTAGGATTAGACAAAGACAGCTCACCACATACATAATTAAGAGAAATATTGTTTTCTCTGTAGGTCTAGAGATAAAACAGTCCACTCTGTGTGGACAAGGTATTCGGTTGCACACATAAGAGGGACTAACTCGAAAACCATAAAGTAAATACTGTCCAGCAAGAAAAGCTATTTCAAAAATAGCTCGTGACATGAGTTGTAGAACGTACATTCTCATTAGACCCTCTTGCATTATTCTTCTGCGTCCGTCATGTTTCGCTGGGTCTTTGTTTGCGCTGTCCCCTGGCTCAGGCTTGATCTCCTGCACTTCCAGTGTATCCTCATAGATCATCGGCTCTGCATCATCATCTCCCTCCTCCAGGACCTCTTCAAGATGGTGGCTTTCCCTCCATCTAGAATGAGGTGGGGGCTTCTTACGAAGTCTCCGGTGCTTTCTGCGCTCCATTTCTGAGGTCCTAGCGATCTTGTGGATGGCATAACCCAGGTACATTATAGAAGGAGTCGAGATCATGATTATCTGGAAAACCCAGAAGCGAACATGTGAAAGGGGGGCGAAGGCATCATAGCACACGTTGTCACAGCCCGGCTGCTTGGTGTTGCAGGTAAACTTGGACTGCTCATCTGAGTAGATGGATTCACCGCCGACCGCTGTGAGAACAATGCGAAAGATGATGAGCACAGTCAGCCACACTTTTCCCACAAATGTGGAGTGATTGTGGATCTCTTCAAGGAGACGAGTGAGGAAGCTCCAGCTCATTTTGCTCCTCTAAGCTTTTCAACTAAAATCTGTCAAAACAAACAAACAAAAAAGAACAAATTACAATTAATTTAAGAACCAAAACAATATATTTATATATATATATATATATATATATAGATTCGTAACTCTTTGGTTAAACTTTCAGTCAGTGAAATCCTTAACATTCAGTTAAGTTAAAAAAATTTATTTATCTTATTTCTTACAGCATAATTTTTATTATTACATTGTAATAGTGGGATAATCTCATACATACACTATATCCAGATTTAACCACACTGAGACTGCGTGATGTAGAAAACTCTTTCTACTTTTATTTGATTCCATAGTAAAATCTATTAAAATGACAAGAAATAGCAAAGAACAGATCAAAGGACGAAGCACTACCGCACACAAAACCACCAAGCAATCATTTTCATTATGGATAAGTAAAACTAAAGCGGAAGAGATGCAAAATGTGTGTGAAAAAGTCTTCATGATACAAATGCGTGCTCCAGTCAAAGCACCACTCCAGAGACATACAGTTCTCTGTCTTCAACACAGTGATACACAGGAGAAACCGATGACATAAGATATCACAGGGTCATATTCTCAACTCACTCCGCATCACTTCAGACTCTGGCACAACTAAAGCTGCTATAAGGAGACAGCGTAGCACTTCATTCATTGTACCAAGCTGCAGAGTTCTTGTTGATCTCATGACTGTGATGCTGTACTCGCTGGTGTGTGATGTGCCATCTCCCCTCCCTGCCGTTCGAGTAAACAGGAGAGGCTTGTTGGTCCGCCATGAGGATGCCCCTCCAAATCCATCCATACTGATGCAGGGGAGGGTTACACACAGTTGGAGGCAGATGTCACCAATGGCGGTCAGTCCATGTCTGCCCCAGGACGGCATGACAGAAGGGTTGTTTCACAACGGATTTATATCGAATGAAAGCGTTGCACAAATCCTTCTTTTCTGTTCTTGCAAGAAGAACAATCCCTACGATTCTGTTTAACACCCGTTAGTTTTCTTTTGTTCTATTAGGAAGTTCCAACCAGGTCATCATGGAAGAAAAAAAAAAATTACGCTTCAGTACCTAATACATTTTGTGAATGTAACCCTAACTTTTTCATGGAGAGAGTAGCAGAGAAAGCCCTCCTAAACATTTTGTGTGGGACATTGTTTGTGTCATACTTGAATGAAATTTCAAATATCAAATCACAGGAATTAGTGTTATCTTTACACTTTTTGTTCAAGTGGCGTACAAGGAAACCAACAGGGATTTTTTTTTATTATGAAAAATGGGCTGCCATATTTTTACAATTCAGATCTTCATAGTTAAGCAGTTTCTATAATTGTAAAGAATACAAACAAATATTATTTGGGTCCATACATCATTATTAAAAATATATGTATATCTAACTTATTTTGATTAAACCATATTGTAAAATGTTCAGACCATAAGAAAGATTTGAATATCATACCCCTTTTTACAGAATTTGCATTTGTTTATGAATTTCACAGTCCGAGTGAACGATATAACTTTCACTTCCAGGATGCAAACTGAGCAACACTTAATCTACCTGTTTGTTTAATTCTTCTGCATGTATTCAACTACTTCTGAGATTAACATTTTAGGACAGAATTGAAAAATAATTGAGCACTTTATACCAAACTATAAGTAAAGATAAATTAAGATAGTTACCATTTGAAAATATGATAAAACCAAAAGGCACTGAACTGACAGAGCAGCTCATCAGTAGCAACCACACTTTCGTTTAAAGGAAAATTAAAAAGAACTCACCTGGAAAAGTTGAACATGCATTTCCCATTTTGAGAACTTTCATTTACTCCTTTGGATATCTACTACTCAGCCTGATCGATAAATAACTCCCCCATCTTAATGTTCTGGCCTTTTTTTTGGCATTAATTACTTCTTGGCTGACATTAGGATCCAGTATAGTTTCTAACTTAGTAAAATGCAGTCACTTTTAGATCCTATTTTCACACTGTGTAGAAGTGAGGTCCCCGCTGTGAAAGCCTTACATACTGGCTTGTGTCTGGCTTCTATTACACCAGCCTTTTGCCCAAGAAGGAAGCAAAAAAGAACGGGGAGGCAGAAAAAAAAGTATCCTCCTCTGGCAAATGACCCTCATCCAAGGGTTCAGACTTGAGGATATCGTACTGCAGATTGAAATGAACACACAGCTGAGAGAGTGGAAATCGTAATACAGTCTACTCCCCCCGACATTCATATGCAACATTTGTAACACAGATGATGAGCCTGTCTCTCTCTCTCTCTCTCTCTCTCTCTTTTTTTTCTGACTTCCTCCCTATGCCCGTATGTTTCCATGATGTGTCCATGTTTCCAAACTTGATTCAGATTTGGAACAATCCTCACTTTTTCAATCACAAAACACATACAAGCCATAACCACAGCAAATTTTTCTGAAGGACCCCTAAATTATCTGTCAATTACATAACGGTTTGCAGTGGGTGACAGTTATGAAGGAACACACGAGGGACACCAAGACAGGGACATAAAGGACAGCGGTGTCATGAAGACATAAGCCACCTTGCCCCGGTGCAGATCAGCCACAATGTAACCAGCAGGTATGCTCAGTCATGTCAAATGTCAAAATATTTAGAACTTCTATCCAGGCAGATGGCCAGATAACAGAAGAGCAGACTGGTCAAACCCTGGCCTCCCACTGAATGTCCTTTCCGACTTCATGTTTACACTTGGTTCTTTGCTTTGGGTTTCTGGATCTCAGTAGCAGCCATTGTTCCTTAAGGAATGATATGGAGTTTCATTTTGATTGCATGGGCATGTGGACACAGACCTCTCCTTCAAAAATACACACACATGCTTTTCATTATGTCCCTAATGTTGTGTAATAATAACAAAATACAGATGAGGAGGTGATTCACGCAAGATTAAAAGGGGAAAATAATTCTTCCATCTCTTTCTTCTGTGTGCCAGAACTTGCCATCAGGCTTTGGAAGTAATCTAAACTGAACTTATTTTGATAGAGGGTTAGATAAATGGGTTAGACTCTGGCTTGTGTGAATGAAAAGTGCCTGGCCATTGTCACAGTGACCATGTTATAATGTTATCCTGACAATGCCCTCAATAAGTCTTTAAATATTATTTGTATAAAGCCATAAAGCAAAGAATAACGCTCAACTTCATCAGTGTCTTCCACCAATTAAATCAAAGATCCTGCTCCCAAAATGAGAAGCTTATTTTTTTGCATAATTATAGCCCAAAAAGGTTAAAGGTAAAAAGTTAGAAGAAAAGCAAAAAAAAGAACAGGTTTTAGGTCAGATAAGATATGTGAGAGCCTGCATAGCCAATCATTCTGAGGCCTAACCTTCAAGGCTCGCCTCATTATCCCACACAAGAGATGTGGCTAAGTGAGCCCCCAACCCCCAGTTCAGCATGAGAGCAAGCGGACGGGGTATGCTGCCGGAGTGACTGGAGCATTTGGAGTTAGTACATGTGACATCCCTAAGGGACCAACGACCACGTGTTTGTATGTTGCTTTGAATTCTCCTTACTCACGAATAATTCAAGAGACAGATGGTCCAGAGAAGATTGTCAAAAAGTGTGATCTTGACCTGATCTCAATCCTTAGCCATAAATATTTTGACTATCATTTAACACCCCATCTTAATGAAAATGTGAAAGCTTCATGTAAAAATTGCAGGTTGGGTTATAATTTTATATTTCTGTTCATTTACGTTTAGCGATGATTTCGGGCTGAAGCTCATTTCAGCTGTTACTGAGCGACAGGCTGGGTTCACCCTGGGCGGACACCAGACCGTGATAGGACATGTAATTTCCACATTTTTTGTGCGATTATTCTGTTCGCGCAAGCTGCATAAAATATTTGGACTGAGAATTAACCTTTTTTTTTTAAACAAACATTACTCTGAGTACTTGACTATATTCCTGTGTCTGTAGAAAAAACATGTCTTTATGTGTGGTGCTTTTTAAAACAGTTGTATAATGTAGCCTACTCAAACATTTAATAAAGTTCAAGATGGGATGGACACTGGTGAATAACTGAAGGGGAACAATTGGGGTCAGAACTGTGAGGGTGTAGCTGGACAAAGCTGATTTCACTTCATCTTCCTGTGTAAACAGTTTATTGGTTTATGATTTTCCCACACTCGTTTTCAAAGCACAAAGAGATATGATTAGCCAAACTGCTAAATGTTTGACATGAGGTTATGTTGAGGTCATCCTTGGAACAATGTGTATTCGCAGACCACTTCCAGCCTTGTCAGATAAAAGGGCTTTCTATATATTGTTGGTAATCATTAGTTATTGGTGAATTTTGGCCTTATCTGTGGACCATGCATTTAAAATGTCTTTTTCAGAGGCTGTAAGGCCCTTCTTTAGTATGCCCTAAAAAACTGTATCTGGTGAAGTTATCAGCTAAGTTTTTATAGAGTTGTATGGAAAGCTTTCCGGGGTGTACCCTGCCTTTTGTCAGGTGTGATAGGCTCCCGCGACCCTACTAGTGGTAAGCAGTACAGACAAAGGAGAGGTGGATGTAAACGGATGGAAAATGAATGAATGAATACTAAAAAAAAAGAAAAAAAAAGGTTTTCCAGTATTGTGTATTAACATACTGTATGATAGTTCAATTTCACAAAAAGGTTTCAAACAAAAGCTGAAGTGTGGAAACAGTAGAGTCAACCCTGCAAATGTTACACTTTAAATTTACTGTCCCTTTGTCCTCTGACAAGTCAGGCTATTTTAGCTCTGGGAAACTGTTGTTGTGGTTGATAAATATTGATTGGACAGCCCACAGCCAGGAAATATTACAGTATCCCCCTGTAAGACATAATTTGACATTGTTGTTGTTACAAGGACTGGCATTGTGTGACAGCCAAGAGAGTATTTCATATTCCTAAAGGTTATATTAATCTTTGAACAGCTTTTTTTCAACAGACAAAATATATATTTTAATTACGTAACATGTGAATTAAAGCTAAACACGCTGAC